GGTCGGATTCTGAACTGGTGAAACATCTCTTTAACATCGCCACTGATTGCTACTTGGCGTTGACGGTATCGAGAAAGAACAGATGTAAGGGACGTCAAAAGATCTGGCCCGGCCAGTAGGGCAGAATTAAGTGATTGTCCTCGTACAGTGGCAGCTGCATCCCAAACTAAACGGACCTTGTCAGGCTTCTTGGGGTGCACAACGACGCCCAGAGGTAAGTACCACACTCTGTTCGGATCTGAACCGAGAATCTCATCCTGGGTAATTTTGTGTGCGTATCCTTTCTCCACGTATTCGACTAGCTGCTTCTTTACGTTCTCATAAAGCTCAGGGTTCCGCACCAACCGACGTTCCAATGATTTAAGCCTTTGCTCTGCCATAGGTTTACTGTCCGGGAAATTAACATGGTCGTACCTCCACAAGAGTCCTGTTTCAAAGCGTCCTGATGGAAGACGAATCGTTGTATCCTCAAGAATCTTCCTGGATCGCTGCTCGTCAGAACCTTCCAGCAAAGGAACCACAGCAACCCCAACATGTTCAATGGAGAAAAACTGCTTCACAAGATTGTGCAACTCATCGTCCGGATTTCGATCCTCAATTTGCGAGTGGAACTGACATCGATCTGTCGTGTGTGCTGTTCCGGGAACCTCACCGTACACGGTCCAGCCTAGCCTGGTTTTTGAAGCAGCTGGCTGACCAACCTTTCCTTCACGAATCTTCAACGGAATTTTCAGATGCATGTTGTCCAGGCCAATGAGGATGGCTGGAGTTGCGTTGCTGTAGTCTTGAACGGGTAGGCCACGTAGGTATGGAAACTGATTGGATAACTGACCAAATGATAAGCTTTGGCTAGGAAGGCCTAACTTTTCAACCGTGTGAGCCGTTTTCAACACATGTCGTCTGACAGGCGCTTCTCGTCCGGAAATTTCCAAACGTATCAATTGTGAGTCCTTTTCAGATCGTTCGACGTCACTGGTCCACTGTAGACAAAGTGGTTGGACTTCACCTGTTACTCCTAACTCTCGAGCAATTCGAGCTTCAACCAATGTCGTTGAAGAGCCTTCGTCCAAGAACGCAAAGGTTTGTATGGACCTATTGTTGCCAAATAGCGTCACCGGTAATATACGGAATAGCGTAGTAACCTGACGATTACGATGGACGTTTATTGTCGCCGTACCTTTTGATTGGTTAACCGTCGTTGTTGATTGTGGTTTTCCTGGATGAAGCAGCTTGTGGTGTCGTCCTTCACAGCCTTCCACTTCGCAGGCCGATGCTTTGCAAGGAAACTTTCCATGCGCTACCAAGCATCGTCTACAAAGATAATGTTCCTGCACGCGCTTCCATCGATCTTCCATACTGCAACTCTTAAAGTCATTGCACTCTCGAACTTTATGGCCTAACTTTTGACAGATTGGGCAGGGTTTCGGTGTATACCGCTTACCTCCTGAACTACTGATGGCTTGCTGTTTATCACCGGTATCCAGCTGGCTGCTAGACGAGTGGGTGTTAACGTAAAGCTTCTCTTTTCCCTTTTGTTTGTCTGATTTGGTGGAATGGAAATCATCAGATGGTTGAAAGGGGGTAACGTCACTTGCAGCTACCACTAATTGGGCCATGTAGTCACCAAATGTACTGAGGTCGACGACAAGGCATTTCTGCTTGAAAAGAGCCCAATCCAATTTGATGTTTGCTGGTAATTTATTAACCAATTCCTGCAATAAAGCCGGATTGGAGAAATGTGCTTGCTGTCCTGCTGCTCGTAGATGCCCGCAAAGATTTTGACAAGCGAGACCGAAGCTAACAAGCGTTTCCAATTTTTCAGGTTTAGGAGCCGGTGTAGCACGCACTTTTTGCAGGAGAGAATTAATGATTAAATCGGGTCGTCCGTAGAGAGTTCTTAGTGTTGCAATAATCATGGGAACCGATGAAGGGTGCAAGAGAAAACTCCTTACTGCTTCTAGAGCGTTCCCCTTGAGGCTCCGCTGCAAACGCATCAAATTTTCTCCATCAGAAAATCCACACAGCTCTGTGGAGTTTTGGAAGCAACTCAGGAACAAGGGCCACTCGACAGAATCGCCCGAAAAGGGAGGAACGTCTTTGGGAACGATGTGTCTGGCAGCCAATTGTTGTGACGTTGGAACACTAATCCATTGAGGCGGCGGCACTGGAACAGAGGTGGAGACGATAGGCGGATTTGCTATTGCTGCCCCGGTGGTGACAACGAATGGTGAGACAACTGGAAACTGGTTGCTCTGAACTGTCTGCACGTTCGACAATCTTGGCAGAAACGGTGTGGAGACAGGCAGATAGCTGTAGTTCACAAAGGGCACGGAGGGGGCACTCGAAGGCGGGGCAGAAGGAGTACTCATATGCAAAGGATTGAATGCAGGTACCGTGCTTGAGAGAGGTAGGGGGGGTAGGCATGGTTCGGTCATGGTGGGGTGAGTGTTTTGAAATAAAGATGAAATCTTTGGTGTGTTGAAAGTAACTTTGTTATGCTGTGTTGTTACATTTCGTGGTATCATTGGTGGTGTATTCTTATAACTAGAGCACGTTTGACTCACCGGAACAGCAGAAGTATGTTGACCGTTGGGTGGGATTGGAAATCCAAGGCCGGGGAACTGATCACTGTTGCTTACACTGCGTTCTGGTATAACCTGGATTTGCTCCGGAACACATGTAGCTGGTAGTGTCGGACGACCTCCTAGCTGCAAACCGCTAAATCTCTGCTGTATGTCACGCAAATCCACTGCGAGCTGACCTATTGGCGCTGGATATGGTGCGGCTGGTTCATCCCAATTCATGCTCCAATCCAAAGGATTTTGGGTTTGGTTCTCTGGGGTGACCTGATCTGATTGCTGCTCTACTTCTGCTTCGGGAGATCGCCACTGCACGACGTCATGATTCGCTGGTTGCCTCGGAGTGAGCCCGAAAATTACACCTGCTTGTTTCCCTGGTAGTGGTGTCGAAGCCGAAACTGTTGTCACCGTCACTGGAAGGTTTTGCTTGGGAATAGTTCCAGTCCGGGAAACTACGCCAGCGGGGACTTGTTTAAACCCGATGTCGGAGTTTGTTGTCAAAACTGGTTCCTTCTGCAACCATTGGTTTACCTTCTGCATGCTTGACACTGTGCGACGGCTTCTTACACTGCTCACGTCCTTCTCGTCGTCCAACTGAGCGTACAACAACTCGTACTTTTTCGCCAAGAAATCCTTTTCCCGTCGGATCTTGTCTTCGGCAGCTTTCTCCTGGATCAATTTTTCTTCTTCCAGCCGATTTAAGTCGAGAAGTATTCTCGCACGAGTAGCAGAATTCGAGAGTGATTGCGGCGGTGCAGGCTCTCGATCCAAGCAATTGGTACACATATTGCGTTCCATGTCGGCACTTTTCAGCACCACAACACAGAAAAGATGAATGCCACGCAAACACCGACTACACTGCGCCATCTTGTCGTTCGCATTGATCGTTTGACCGCATGTGCATGTATCTCTCGATTCCGCCATTGCTAAACCGTGAGATAGCGTGGTTTAACTACTAGACACAAATTCGTTTTTGTGTGATAAAAATCTAAAAGATTTTGTTGCGACAGGTGATGAGGTTTCGGACCATCCAGTTAGCGAAACTCGATTTTTGTGGAGTTTGCTTTTAGCTGCAATTTAATTTTTAATTCAATTAGTGTTATGTTCACAATTGGTAGCCCGTAGGCATAGTAATTCATTAGTTTAGATTAGTTTTAGCTAGTTAAGTTAGGATAAGAACAATTAGCTTTAATGTAGTATATAAATCTTACATTTTTAGTCCCTTTTATGTACTTGTCCTGTGTAACAATTATTAACTTGTGCCTAGTATAATTATTTTAACGTGTGTATCTCGCGAGCAATCTGCATGTACTGAGTGGGCTACGGACTTGTGGATGATCGACTGCTGATCGTGAGTCGATCGTTTTGACACTCCGCAGTTGGTAATATCTGCCCCGCTGTTAATAATTCGGCTGGTTGGGCACCGTCCTGAACAACAGTTAAAACTAATGCAGTGGACAGTGAGAATCAAGCCGCACCAATTCCAGAGACAGTACACCAAATGTGTAAGTCGTACATATCAGGATCGCTATAAAATTATCCTAAATAAACATTTAATTGCAACTCAAAGCTCATACACAACAAAAACGTGTTGCTCACCTAGAGTTGGTAATCCTAACCCAACACAATATGATACAAGAAACCGATGCACATTGTTGACGAAATACACGTAACTGTCAAAAGATAAGCAATTGTAACGGAATTCAAATGAAATAAATCAACACACTCAAAAATCCCCAGAAAATCAGCTCACCGAAAAATAGTGTTGGGTGGACGGTACCACCCACCGCATATAAGGAGGAGTTACTGTATTCCAGATTTTCCATGAACTCGGTTCGCTGTCCACCGGCAAAAACTTGTATTTCTTCCTGATGAATGTGGGCGTCTTAGTGGAATACCTGTATAATGAGAGAGAGAAGGATTAGTATTTTCCATTTAATTCCACTACTTTATTTGCTTATCCTTGACAGATACGCGTATTTCGTCTACAATGTGCAGACTTCTTCAGTGTCTTGTACTAATACTCGACTGAAGAAAAACATCGCATTTACCGAATATATATTAACACAGGTACATTTTCACTTAGAAACTAGGTAAACTTAAATTTAATTTTCTATAGGAACAGGTACTCCGCTGCTTACTCGTTGATGTGTCCTAGGTAGTAACTTGAAAAGCCATGTGTGTCCGTTTCCTTGATCCCTGTTGAGTAAAGTTGAATTACGTTGTTTGTTGATCTCGAGGCTTTCTGCAACATCCAATTTCCATGGTGTAGATACGGTTCGTAAAATCGTTATGTCCTCCGTCGATAGTTGGTGGTCCTCTGTGAATATGTGTTCTGCAACCTTTGATTTGAAATCATATGTTAGGCCCTTTTCTTCTTGCTTTTTGGCCTTATTAACCTCCGCTATATGTTCTTTAAATCTAGTTGCTAAAGTTCTCTTGGTTTGTCCTACATATACTTTGTTACAATGATTACAGCTTATTTTATATACACCTGCTTTACCTAAAACATTAACTGGGTCTTTAGTGGATCCTAACAATGATTTCAACTGGTTATGTCTACTGGTGAAAACTAAATCTAATCCGAATTGTTTTAACTGTGGTCTTAGTTTACAAGTAATATCTTGATCAAATGGAACGGACACTCGTTTCAATGGTTCAGGTGCTGTGGTGAGGGTTGTAAATAATCTCCTTTGTAGAATTCTCGCTTTTTTATCGATGATTGCCTGGATTGTGGTCTCCTTGTATCCGTTGAGTCTTGCTGTTTCGAAGATGTACTGTAATTCCTTAACCTTTCCTGTATCGCTGAGTGGAAGAGTCTGCATTCGGTGAATCATGTGGTGAAAGGCGGCCATTTTCTGCTGGAACGAATGGTTGGAAGTATAGGGGATAACTCTTTTGGTGCTTGTTGGTTTCCTGTAAATTTCGTATTCAAGCGAGGAAGATGATGACGATTCCCTGATGACTAGAAGATCGAGAAATGCGAGTTTCCCGTCTTTTTCTACCTCGTGAGTGAATTTGATATCCTTATGAATTCTGTTGATCTCATCTAAAATTTGTGGAAGGGCTTCCCGTTTAACTACGCTGAAGATATCGTCAACAAACCTCCACCAACGGTTTGGTAATAGTCCTTTCTCCTTCAGGATTGTCTCCAAGTTGGCCATGAAAAGTTCACACAAGAAGGGGGATAGGGGGTTTCCCATTGGGGCTCCTTTCGTCTGCTTGTAGAAGTTACCTCGGAAAGAGAAGTAGTTCTCTTCCATACAAAGGCGGGTCAGCTTAAGGTACGTCCGAACCTTGTTTCTCCATGCTGCATCCTCTCGTTGTGTTAATAGCCAGTCCTCCAAATGGTTGATCGCTTCCTTGACCGGTACGCTGGGAAAAAGAGCTGTGACGTCGAAAGATACCATAATCTCGTCCTCGTTGATGTCTCCTGAAGATTGTAGTTGCTGGGTGAACTCCTGGGTGTTACTAACTGCTTTACTCTGGAACTGATTCGGCATACTCTGGAACTCTTTGACTAGCCACTTCGCTAGTTTGTGGGTGGGGGAACCAACTGCAGACACGATCTCTCGCATTTCATTTCCTGGTTTGTGGACTTTGGGAAGACCTTTGATCCTGGGTAGAATGGGATTGGGTTCCCGTATACGACCTGCTCCATCTCCTAATATCGATTTGCACTCCTTCAGTGCTTTCTCCACGCGTTTCACTATGTTCTGTAAGGGGTCTACTCGAAGCTGTCTATACGGTCCGTTGTTAATCTTCGTTATCATTTGATTATCGTAATCGTCCTTGTCCATGATAACGACCGCGTTTCCCTTGTCTGCCTTTACGTAGTATACTGCTTTACTTTTTAGCTCCTTTACAATCCGAATTTCTTTTTCGTTGGCGCGTCCGTCCTGTCCGTCCTTGATTATGTTCGATGTGATAGTCCTAACCGTATTCTGTGATGTTGTTGGAAGCGTCTTGGTAATCGCTGTTTCTACGTCAATGATGATCTGCTCCACGTCTGGCTTGGTTGTAACCGCGTATCCTAGCCCCTTGTTGAGGTGTATCAATTGTTCTTCCGTGAATGCGGTCGTCGATCGGTTGACAACCAACCCATCAATGGAGTGAACCCTCGGCGTCGTGGTGATGGTTGATGGGATCTGCTCACCCGTTCGGTGTGTCGTCCGTCTCCGTTGAGACTCCTGCCGTAGTCTGTTTAGCTTCCTATCCTGCAGCTTCCGCTTCCTATCCGATTCGCACTCCTCTGCTACCTTGGCCCTAGACAGAAACTCCTGGAATTTAATTGGATACTCCTTGGCCAATTTGAGATGTAGATAATAACATTCCAAAACCTTCATGTCCAGTTTGCTATATAGCCGTCTGATGCTATCCTTGATGAACTCTGCTTCCATCCTCTTTACTACGCTGGGTGGGGTGGGTGTCCGTACCTTAATCCTATGGCTTATAGGTATAACCTTATATTTTTGGCATTTCTTCAGAAATGCTACGTCCTTGTGAAGCGATGCGATGGTTTTCTTCAATCCGATGAATTTATTTGGCTCCGACGGCTTGGTTGCCATGATGAATCCTGATGAATGTGGGCGTCTTAGTGGAATACCTGTATAATGAGAGAGAGAAGGATTAGTATTTTCCATTTAATTCCACTACTTTATTTGCTTATCCTTGACAGATACGCGTATTTCGTCTACAATGTGCAGACTTCTTCAGTGTCTTGTACTAATACTCGACTGAAGAAAAACATCGCATTTACCGAATATATATTAACACAGGTACATTTTCACTTAGTCCTTGTGAAGCGATGCGATGGTTTTCTTCAATCCGATGAATTTATTTGGCTCCGACGGCTTGGTTGCCATGATGAATCCTGATGAATGTGGGCGTCTTAGTGGAATACCTGTATAATGAGAGAGAGAAGGATTAGTATTTTCCATTTAATTCCACTACTTTATTTGCTTATCCTTGACAGATACGCGTATTTCGTCTACAATGTGCAGACTTCTTCAGTGTCTTGTACTAATACTCGACTGAAGAAAAACATCGCATTTACTAAGTGAAAATGTACCTGTGTTAATATATATTCGGTAAATGCGATGTTTTTCTTCAGTCGAGTATTAGTACAAGACACTGAAGAAGTCTGCACATTGTAGACGAAATACGCGTATCTGTCAAGGATAAGCAAATAAAGTAGTGGAATTAAATGGAAAATACTAATCCTTCTCTCTCTCATTATATTGTATTTCTTTCCTCTGCACAACTGACGTAACACAATAAGTCACATGTCCGGCTTTCTCTTTGATAACGATGCAGCTTCCCTGTAAACTTTTTCCAATCATTCATGATGTGGTTATAGGGATGCTGGAAATGGTTGGAATCCCTGAAATGGATGCAAAGTTCCTTTGTCATCATGGGTGGAGCATTTCCCGGGATTCACTTATGGGGATAATTTGAAAATGCTTGATCACTATCTTAGATGGCTGTCTCTGCTGATGAGAAGAAGCCCTTTCGTTGTTGACGGACGTAGTCGTTCCATCATTGTGTCATCATCACGTTACTTTTCCAAGCAAATTGAGTTAGCAAGGAAAGGAATGAGCTGATCCATCGATGGCTTTGTGCGCTTTGAAAGTTTTTCAATTTTAGCCGTTTTTTGTTTTCTCGTTTATGGACACAAAATCCATTTGGTCGCCATTTCCAGAAACCGATTGAATCACATTCAATTAAGCAAACAGAAAATGCATTAAATTGAGCGTGCGATTTATTCGATTATGGTAATCATGGCCGAATGGTGCAAAAACCTGTCACTCACTGCATCTCAACCGCAGGGCACGACATTTCCTCCCGAATTCATATCACCAATCAGTGCCTGAAGTATTTTTTTTTTAACTCATTACGTTATCCTCATTATGCACCAGAACAGGGAAAATAAAAATGAGGACCGTCAGTTTTGCAATGTGAAGCAACAATTCAATTAATTATCGAAATAAGACAAAGCCAATAATGGGGACCCTGAATTGAAACACACGAGCTGCCTTTGTCTGTCTTTTTTTTTTTCGAAATTGGCAGGGGAACTGCGAGCACGGTTTGTATGGGAAATATTATAAAAATTGCAATTTTTCCGCAAGCATTATTATATCCGAGGAAAAGCAACTTCGATGAATGATATGAGGAAATAATTAAAAACCCAAAAAAATCAATTATATTGATGAGGTGCATACTTCATCTGGCTGTTTGTCGCCACTGGGGTAGGTTTGCTTGCCAGTTGGCCAGCCGATGGCAACGGTTCATCAAAGAGAGATTCAATATTTTACGCCAATCAGGGTCAAGCGAGGCAATAAAAGCCCCATTTGGGATAACCGCGACGACTACGACGAGTTGAGTATTTGGCTGGTAGGAAGTGGAGATGTGTTGCTGTACCGGACGTGATGATGCTGGTGGAAATGGTTGAATCGAAGCGGATATCCAGGGACATGCTCGTTTTAATTGCTAGAATGAGAGGGTTGATTTTAAAGCCTCAGGATTATAAAAATTGCAGACTTTTCAGTAAGGTTCACGATCAAATCGTATAGAAACAATACAGTTAATGGAATGCTGATACTTCTCCTGCTAATGAAATATGTGTTTTGGAAGCGTCAATCTTGTCACCGTTTCATGTTTCTGAGCTTACCGATGGCACTTGTCTGTAGCGTAATTCATGATAGCTTGGATTTTGTTTGGAAGACCAGTATGTTGTGAAAAGTCTTTTCTGGAATTCTGAAATCATCGATGCATCATAGTATGAATCGTTATGTGGAATTTTACAGGAGCAGTGTTTAACATTGGTTTCACAATTAATCAATGACACGGGAAAGAAGAACAGTTCTTAAAATGGAATATAGTGTTTGATTTGCAAAGTTTTTTGTATGAACGATTTCAGAAGATACGTGAGTGTCGCTAGTATCCAATCTACGAAGTATATCATAACAACGCTAACGCTAACGCAAAGGTTTTTTGTATGAATGCCCAGAAATGACTGAAAATCAATAATGCAATAATAATGCATTGAAAAAAAAAAAAATAATTCGTACCCCAAAATGGCACTTTGTAATGAAATTTGGAGGCTAACCCTTCAAACAGTAGGTTAGGGTGTTACAATCAAACTTTTGTATGACGACAACTCTGGGAAATGCAGGTTAGAGGTTTAAAATATGAGATTTAAGATGCACTTTTTTCAGTTTATATCAAAATTATATTACTAATGATATCAAATCTTGTGAAATATAATCCTTTCATTTATGTTTTTACCGATTTATTAGGGTCCATACTAGTAGTAAAATTGCCACGGCTTGTTTTGTGTCAATATTTTGTGTTACATTTTTTTTTATAAATCTCTAAATGATTTTTTAGGTCAATTATGGCATTTAGTCGACAAAAATGCTGTTGTCTACAGTGACATCTGTTTTCCGTTAATTGTTCACAGAGGACAGTGCAGTGCAAAACGTGTCTGGTGCACACTACTAAAAAGTCATGTAAATTTCGGTTCACTGAGAACGACGCATGTAAGCGGTCCTTTTGACATAAGAATCAGTTGAAAGAAACGAGAAAATCAATTCAATCAAACGTTATCTTCGTCGAATTGCTTATGTTTCGGTTTGAGAGCACTTAATTTTACATTAAATGTTTTACATAGTTGAAGATGCTAATTTAAAATAACAGACTAAAGTGGTAATTTTTATACGATAGATGAGGAGGAGGAGATGAAGTATATAATTGATAGTTCCGTTTAGATTGCGGCAGTGTGAAAATTGCATATAGAGAGTAGACAGCGAGCTGACAACTTTTAGGAAAGTAAAAATCGGTTTTATCATATATCTTTACCAAACTTCCCCTTTGGAGAGGCAAGGCAAGCTCCCCTTTTGGATAGGGATGGTGAGGGTTGAAATGTTTTAAAATTCTCTTCTCGTGAAGAATGTTCTGTATATATTTTTTTAATTTGTTATTCTACCTACTTAACCTAACTTACCTAAACCTAACCTAACGTGACAGATCCCTGATGATCTGTTGATCGGATCGCCTACAACAATCTCTGAACCTTGCGATGGAGTCAGCTCTCCGTAACTCCAGTGTCTGAAGACCAGCCAGGCGGTGGACCTCAGAGTTTCTAGTCCACGGTTGACTATTGAGGATCGTTCTCAGGATTTTGTTCTGGATCCTTTGTAATTTGAGATGGTGGCTTTTTGCGCAACTCTTTCAGATTGGCATCTGGTATTCTATTACGAGAAGGATGATATGTTTGCAGACAGCAAGCTTATTTTTCAGGGATAGAGTAGACCTCCTGTTGATGAGTGGATACAGTGATCTTATCTAGATGTTACACTTGGTTTTGGTTTTTTTATCGTGCTCCCTGAAAATAAGCTTATTGTCTAATTTTAGGCCTAGGTAGACTAGCTATTTCGACCTTTCCACCACTGTACCGTTCAGGCAGATCTTATGTGTCTCCAACGGAACAAGTATGGGAGATTTAGAGTGTGGAAAGATGATGACCTGGGTCTTTGCCGAATTGATACGGATCTTCCAGCTGTTGAAATATTCAGACAGGACGTCCAGGCCTCTCTGAAGTTTGACAGTCAGAGCTCCGATGACCCTACCCTTGTAGACGATGGAACAGAGACAACGATCCACCATCAGGGCGAGCCGGCATATCGGAGGTGAACAGGTTGAATAAAATGGGGCCAAAGATGCCTTCTTGTGGAACCCCGGCACCGATGTTGAAAGCATCTGATGTGATGCTATTCAGAGAGACTCGGAACGTCCTGTCCGATAGATAGTTGTTAACTCAAGTGTTTTAGTTCCAGATTGATAATGTTGTCGAAATCTGGGGCCTTCATGTTTTTAGATGATTTGATATAGGCCAACAGTTCGTCAGCTGTAATCTCGGATTCCTCGGGAAAATTGTTGGAAATCTGATGGAGATTTTGTTTGCGTTTTCAGCAATCTCAGGTTCGCGAGGGCTGATGATGTTTTGACCGAGATTATGGGAGCTGATGAGTTATCAGATGAACCACTGGGCGCCGGGACGGGATTTAAAGATTGTTGTTAGCTTCCAAAAGGGCTTTGCACAATCTGGGAGAGAGCGGATCCTGTTAGCAAAGTCTTGATTTTTCAGGCCCACCATCCTGGCTTAGATGGTTTTTGTTGCAGTGGGTCTTCAAGACAGGCAAGCCAGAACGCTGGTAGGGCTAACTACCCCATTTTCAGCCTATTAAGCACAACCCGCACTTAGTCTTTCCTAATCTAGCGAAGTTTAGCACAAAACGGAATGTTATTATTACTTATGGCTTCCAAATTTATTTACCTTTCCGTACGTACCATAAGATTTGATAAAGAGAAACCAATCGCTGAAATATTGTCAAAAGTCTAACACTGCTTCTTGACGCCAAACTCGGCCTACGGATTCAAAACTTGGCCTAACCCATTGAAATGCCATTGAAACGCCAATGAATTCACTTCGGCCTATCGGATGAAGATAAAAATTGATTCGGTCCACGCGTTCTCATTGACTTCGTTCCGTAGCTTATTAACTAAAGCATTGTACCAAACGCATAATTGACTTGTTAACTCTGAAATCATGGTTTTATTCGAAATTTTCTGCTCGATTGGCTCAAAATGGGCGATTAGGCCGAAGTAGTTCTTTACCCTATTGCCTTCGAATGGAGTTACGGAGTCTAATGATATTTTGAATCTTGATCCCTGGCCCGGGATATTGCCTC